TGTTAGGTACTACATGCTAGACAGTACATGCTATGTTGAAAACTAGACAGCTTCTTGAGGCAGCTGTTATGTATGACACACTTTCTAACTTACTGCTTATTTTCATTTAACTGCAAATACAAACTGTTCTTCACTTATCTAAAGCTTACTTTCAAAATAAATCTGTAAAGTATCCTCCCAAGATTGCTCTTCCAAGAAATAAGATCACGTTGAATTACAATACTTATCTGAAATTTTTTGTACTTAAATCCCTTCATTACGACTGACCCAGGAGTAACTCTTTACTCTTGCTGTTCATGTCAAGATTTGCATTTTCTTCAATTTGCTTTCACTTCACTTCAACTTCTGCTTTTCTTTGATGCAACTAACTAAATAGCAGTTGGGCAAATAGAGCACCTGCTTTGCCGTTTGAAAACTAGATGGACAAACAATCCCAAATCCAGTACAAATGATCACATGGAATTTAAATTCTTGTGACTTGGACTGGCATAAGGTTAAGAAATAAAGTATTCCTCCCTCAGGGGACCAAAAAAAGTTGGTTCCCACCAGTCTCTCTCTCTTTTGGTTATATTTGCTGTCAGTTATCTTTATTCTGAAAGATTATTTTTCTGCTGCTATTTTGTTCAGAGATTGCTCCTAAATCCTTTGCTTTTCTTAGTTCCTAGAGCACTAATAATTTATTGTTAGCAATTAAATATTTCAAAGATTTGGAAAGCATACTAACTAGAATTTAAACACTGGTAACTCACTGGTAGCCAGTCAAAACACACAACAGGTAAAACAGCATGCTGCAACTGGGACACAATTTAAACTGGTGAGCTCTAAACTGGAACTAGCTTCTTTCCTTGTTGCAAAGTCCATGTAATTATTCATGTCTGGTAAAAAAAAAAAATAAGACTCCACGGCAATAGTCTAGCCATCAGGAGCAATACTACAACAACAAACCAAAGATTCCTGAGATGAAGGAAAGAAGATTTAAACGAAAAACCAGATTTTGCTTTCAAGCTTCAAAGGGGTTATTTTAAACAGTCAGTTAAAACACCCCCACAGTGTTAACACCTAAAAATGGTCTTAAATAAAAAGAGCTCAGAGTACAAATTCCACCCTAAACTTGCACTTGGGCAGAAAGCAGTTTACCACTGCAAGCAAAATCTTTCCATATTGAATTCTGAGAGGTTCCAAGCACTAGCAACTTCCATTGACTAAGGCAGAGTTGTGGGTGTTCGTTATCAATCAGGAATTGTCTCTACAAAGCTAAGACAACTGTTAATGGACAAACCCTGTTAATAATGGGGAAAGTCTGAAGAGTCTTACTCAGTCTTCTAATGAAACCAAGTTTGAAGTATGCTGGAATAAGACGTGGATAAGGACCAACGGATTTGGTCTAATGATGGCATTTTAATACAGTACTTCCGATAACACAGCACATTTTATTCTAAAAGGGCCAGATTTTTAAAGGTATTCAGGTGCCTACTGAAATTTTCAAAAAAGTGTTAGGGCAGTGTTAGGCACCACGGTGCTTTTGCAAATCTCATAAGGTGCCTAAATACCTTTTAAAACCTGGCCCAAAGTGCTTAACACACACTAATGTTTTTTGGTAAAAGCCAATAATTATCACCAAGATACTTTCACAAAGAACACACATTGTCCAGCTAAAAGGAGATATGTTTGTTGTGGGAAACAGACATTAGGTCTCTAATACCTCGGTAAATTTTTTTTTTTAAATTGACCACTGGTATAGCAATGAAGATGTGAAAAACAAAATACTCAGAGGATCACATTTGTGTACCACCTAAAATAGCTGCACAGTTTAAGCAGGGCTGCTTTTTATTCAACAGCTGTACAGTTTAACTGGTATTCATTGTATTTGAATAAACCCATCCAACTACTATAAATCAAAGATAGCTGTTAAAATTAGCTCTGTGAAAAGTAAGCTGACACACACTCCTGCTGCCCATTAAGATTTGCAGTAGAACTGCCAGTAGCACAAAAATGTTAAAAATAAATAAATAAATAAATAAAAAATCAAGCTACATATAATTTACATGTAACCTCACATTGCAGAAGGGGAAGACTAACAAAAATTTCCCCAGTACCATCTACATTAACCATGCCATCAAAGGTTCCAAAAACTGTGGCAGAGGATACTGCATTTTCTCAATATGGAAAAAGGTGTCATGGGCCAAGATATACATGAAAAACTCCTATTGATCTTTGCAAGGATCTCTCTTACTAAAACAGCCAGGTTTGTGAAAAGATACAAGTGCTTTGAAGTTATAATTAAGGGCCTTAGAAGTTCAAACAACAATCTACAGCTTTTTGCCTTTCGAAGAACTCTTGTATTACACTACCTGTTTTATTTTAATATGAAGTTTCCAGCCATCCCAGTTTAAAAAAAAAAAAAAAATTAGCAGACATTTGCTATGTGAATCTATCAAGACAGAAAGTTGTCAGCAAAAAATATATATATCAAACCACAAGAAAGATGTGAACTTCCTCTTTCATGCCTCAACCTGATGGCATATTATGGTGGTTTCAGTAACACATTTGCAATGTGAATCAGAAAATCTAATCTAGGAAGAGAACGCCATTTGGATGATACACTTAATTCTCTTTAAACCAAGCCAAATTATATGGATTTGAATGTTTGGGCGACTGCTGATTATTACATAGCTACTTTATCATCACTCAGTTTTAACTGCATAAACACTGTAATATCTCATTTTCACAAACACACTCCAGATCAAAAAAGGAGAGGACTAGAAAGAACAGGATGTGAAATGTTTTGCAGAGCTCAAAGTAATGCAGATGAAACACCATCAGTACAGAATTTTCTAATAAAACCTCTGCATTTTCCCCCACTGTCTATTTATATTAGATAGATCGATAGATCCTGTTGCTAGGATTAACCACTAATTTTCATTTAAAAACTCCACACTACAGTGAACAATATCCTTAGCTAATGTATTCTTCAAAGTGGTGTTTGTCTCAAAATCTGTTTTTGTAAGAGGGCCACATTCTGATCTATTACACTAGTGTAAATCTGAAACAACTTCATTGACTTCAATGGAGATTTTTACACTGGCATTATTGAGATTAGACTCTGGCCCACAACATAACAGAAGAATAAAAACTGACTTCTGGCAGTGACCATATCTCACTCTGTGTAGAATTAGTATTCACCTTTCCCCAACCTCCAGAAACACAGATGCTTATCCTTAGTAAGCCTAGGGCAGGCCTGCATTGTTGTTTACATTTAAATGGCCCTGCCTTTCTGTCTATGAAGTGATAAACAAAAACGTCCAGTTTGTGGTAGAATTGTGGGATTTATGGAGACTCCTCAGCATTAACCAAAAGTAGATGGAGGATAAAAGACTGTTGACACCTACTAACAAAAGTTATAACTCCCAAATCAATCTACCTCAGTGAACTAGAAGTAGGATTCTGAGTCCTAGGAGAAGAGGGCACTTCCTTCATTTTTAATTAACCTAATCAATATATTATTGGAAAACTCTATGCTAGAGTAAACGAAGGTAAAATGATGGCATTGTAGTCGGTATTGTGAAGCTCCAATCAGGATCAGGGCCTCTCTATGCAGGAACTGGATATGCAACTAGATAGCATCCCTGCCCCCCAGAGTTTATAACCTAATATAAATGAGTGATTGCAAGTTCATTAGAAAGCAAGTGGTAGGATTATTTCCTTTAGCCACCCCAAAAACTTTAAAAGCAACTTCCCCTTACACATCACATGACTGAGCATTTATGCATAAACATTCTGTCTGCAGACTGAAATTTCAAATTGGGATTTGACAATAAACCATCTAAGACAACAACTGACAGACATTAGTGCCTGTGCAGCGGAGGAAGGTGGGGGATGGACAATCAAGATAGCCCCTGTCTTGGTCCCAACAGGAGAATGGTTTCTTCGCCACATCAAGGAGAATCAGCAGTTGTTGCAATAGTCTGCAGGGCAACAGAAGAAAAGCCAAGTAGTAATGGAATGCACAAAAGGCTGATTGGAAGTAGGGTGACCAGACGGCAAGTGTGAAAAATCGGGACAGGAGGTCGGGGGGTAATAGGATCCTATATAAGAAAAAGACCCAAAAATCAGGACTGTCCCTATAAAATCAGGACATCTGGTCACCCTAATTGGAAGAGAGGGGACTGGGAGAAGAAAAGGAGCCAGTTTAAAAAAGCAGCTGCAAAAATCATGGAATCAGAGTGCGCGACCAACTTCTCAATCACTACAGCTCTGATTCAGGAAAACACTTAAGAATTTGCTTAAATGCTCTCCTGAATCAGGGCCTATGCTTGCAAGCTTAAGGTTTTGTTTGGCCTATCTAGGTACTTATGTGGCCTTTTTCACCGCTGCATCGAAAAGCCCTTCCCACAGCATTCTCTTTTTGCCTCTTTTAGACAGTAAACCCTTCAGAGCCATGATAAGTTTGTGAAGCATCTAGTAGTGAGTGATCTGATCAATTACTAATGAAACATTGTTAACAACAAGGTACCCCCTTTCCTACCACACATATCAAGGCTGCGTGTTAGCAAGGGACTAGCATATTACACACGTTTCGTGGCTCTCTCCCCTCATTTTAAAGCTTTACAGAATGATTCATGCTGGTGGTTAGCCAAACATAAAGACACTTTCCATGCTGTCCCACATAGCACAGAAAGGAGAAATTAATTGGTGAAATGCTCACAAAAAGCCTTATGTACTGGTATTACAAATCAACACAGTAGTTTTGCAGCACTACAACAACTGTAACTGTGTGTGGTTACCCCATGGAAATGGATGTGCTTTTTTACTTTTAATGAGCATTTCTATAGTCAGTTCATCAATTCAGATCAACTATTTAGAAAACCTGTTAGAAAAATGTTAGCACAAGAAGTGACATGTTTCAAAACACCAAAATGCCATTTAATGGACAACTCCATGTCATAAGCCAGCTGCACCGAAGAACACTCTGCACTGCAGGCATAAGACACTCCTCTCACCTCTTGGAAAGGTCATTTTCTGACTGCTGGAGCGGCCTGCCTGAGCTCTGGTAAAAGCTTTTCAGGAAAGAGGGGGCAGAGAAGGAAGAGGGAAGTCCACTCTCACTACCATATCGTCGTCGAGCTAAAGGCACAGGACTGAGTGCAGGGAATAAGACAAAATGGAGCAAATGTGTCTAAGTGTGCTGGTTACAACAATTCAAATACCTACAACTGTTATAAATACTGGGCCAGCTGCTGCCTTGACTTACACGGACTGTGTCCCCAACAAAGTCAATAGAATTGTACAGGATACAAGTTGGGGCAAAAAATGGCCTAAGAAATTAATCAAATTATTGCATTATGATGAAATTAAAGAGACACCAAATGAAACTAAAGTATAGACAGCCAAGAAGATCTCTTATTTCTTTAGTCTTAGTTAATCTCAACAAGACAGAGAAATACCCAGTGTTTGTAATGTACTTCAGTGGTTGTACTTTTATAGCAAAACTTGCTTTGATAAATACAATATACCAAGAAAGATTAGAGTGGGAATGAACCAGAGTAGTGAACACATTATAGTGAAATTTAAGAATAATATTTTCTCATCATATTTAAAGGTGCAAACTGTTTTCAAGAAAATTCAAGTGCAAGGTTATTGAGTAATTAAGTAGCAATTTCTACAACACCAATTTCAAAAATTTTGGAAAACTGTCTTCTTTGTAACATATATGTAGGATTTCAATCACAACACATTTCAATAATTAAGGAAAAAATAAAAACCTATTTGAAGACATATTAGAATCATTTCAGTTGCTTTGATATAAATATTTCTAGTTGATTACTCATTCTGTGACAGAAAGGAAGAACAACCTAAGATCAAGTTGTTGTGAAGCTGTTTTGATTGGAAGCTTGCTGATCATGCAACTTAAGTCAGTGACATCTTGAAGACTATTGTAAAGCAGTGAAGTCAGCAAGTCTTTAAATACTAATTGCTAAGGTTTCCTGTTTGCACACACCATCATCTTGGTCAGTGAAAAAAAAACAAAAAAAACCCCACTAAAATTATCTGCCAGACACAGGGATAACATTCTGATGAAGTCATTTCAAAGCTTCTTTTTCTTGCGGGCCCCCCCCCCACCTCTATATGAAACAGAATCAACTTGATAAGTAAGAGAGTCACTTGTGGTGTTAACCTCCTCATTTTAATAAGCACTTTGAATGGAAAAAGAATTGCTAGCATTTCACCCAACATGATTTTTTTAAATATATTTCTAAAAATGTAAACCTGTGTAAAATGTAGAGGCCACCTCAGTAGTTTGGGAAAAGAATGTTACCAGGTAAGAGGAATCAGAGTGTAGGGCAGCGGTGAGCAACCTGCAGCCCATCAGGATAATCCGCTGGTGGGCCACCAGACAGTTTGTTTACATTTGCACAGCTGCCCGCAGCTCCCAGTGGCCCTGGTTCGCCCTTCCCGGACAATGGGAGCTGAGGAAAGTGGCACGGGCCACAGGGATGTGCTGGCTGCTGTTTCCCGCAGCTCCCATTAGCCGGGAACAGCAAACCACGGCCACTGGGAACTGCGGGCAGCCATGCAAATGTAAACAAACTGTCTGGCGGCCCTCCAGTGGATTACTCTGATGGGCCGTGTGCAGCCCGCAGGCCACAGGTGGCCCACCACTGGTCTAGAGTCTGAGCAAATAAAGAAAGACTGAGTGATGTTGAGCTTGTATGCTCGCTCCTGGACATGGGGAGAGTAAAGAATTGTGGCAGCTCCTTCTGACCAAAATGAAGGAACCATGATTGTCTCCAATGGGAGCACCTTCCAACCATGCTAGCTGGAGCAAAGGTCTCCAGAGTAAAAGGAAAAGAGTTTAAAAGGGAGACATTTGGGAAAGGGCATTATGAAGACTAAAAATGCTATCCCCTCAAAAAAGTTAAATATAGCTCACAATGTGGTGGTAGTATTGAATTCTTACAACTCTTTCCTCAGGAGGTTTAACTGACCTGGTGGGAGACAAAGGAAGGCACTAGAGCCTTGCCTACATTAGAGCTCCTGCAGTGTGGCCACCTGTGAAGCTGAACTGATGGGAATTTTCCATCCCCTAAAATTCTCTAATGCAGACACAGCCAAAAAGGTTAAGTGGTTTGCCCAAGGCCACAGAGTGGAGATGAGAACTGGCTCTTTGGTTAGTTAATTATTGTCTGTGTATCAACTGGGGTACAGCAACAAGTACTTTTGCTGTAGAGAAATTTTCTGAATATAATTATTTAGAAAAATCTAAACACTGCACAAGCAGCCTATGTGAACATTAACAACTGTGGCTTAAATGCGTGGATGGGCATTATTTATATTATTCATTTCATTCTATTTTTTCTTATCAGAAAATCTCTGAAAATGCTTGTACACATTTGAATGCCCAAACTCACCTGCTCTGCTCTATAGAATTCTGTCTCAGAAGTGGAGACTTAACACTCTGGGACCTCCCGTCCTGGAAAGTAATCCTCCTCTTGGCACTGGACGTTGGATGGCTGAAAGTATGTGCACGCCTTCTAAACTGAGGAGAATCGGAGTCCTCTTCGGGAAATGGCTGCCAGACCGAGGACACGGGGGAAGCTGGAGGAGTGGCCGGAGGAGACTCCCCGGGTGAACAGTCCTGAAAGGAAATCAGATAGGAGTGACACTTTCCCCCCTGCACTGTACAACTGGTAACATAACTGAACAAATCCTACAGCTCATCAAGGGTCTGGAAGAACTAAAGCCTCTCCCCTTCTTGGTCATGGCCTATTGTATGCTAATTATCAGCTGCGCAACCAACGCCAGACATCCTTTGATAATTAGCTCTGAAATAGCAATGTCCTTTTTAAAGCAACAAAGACGGTGTACACAAAGCATTCATAGACCAGTCACTCCTCTCTTGAACACCCTTTGGCTACTAACAATTGCAACTGCTAGACTTCTAGCTTTCAGGAAATATAAAGCATGGAAAAGGATCACGGCCAAAGCTGGTTTATACTAGCTTCCTCGACATATCATGAACATATTTCCTGTACTGTCAAAGCAATATCCTGGAAAAAAAGATTATTATTACACAGCCAGATTCCAAGTAACAGCAGCAGGAAAATCAAATAATAAAAGCTGTTATGGATCCTCCTTCTCCTGGGAAAAACAATCATTCATTCAAATGTTGTGTGAGGTAAAAGGAAAGACATTAAAAACAGGAAATAAAATGAAAGTGAACAACACTGGCATTACACATGGGGTTTTCAACTACTCAAAAAAAAGATTCAAGCTTCCCTTTTATTCGGTAACAAATAATTTGTGTTTCAACATCTTTATGTACATTTTTTTTTTTTAAACAATGGTGACTGTTAGCTGGTTTTACATTCACAGTTTGAATGTGGTAAAAGCAGCTTTTTTTACTTGTGTTTTCTTTTTGTTAAAACGTTCCTCTGAAAAGTTATGAAGCAGAAGCAGACTATAAATTTCCTGGTTTAGTTTGATCACAAAAGCAAGTTAGGTGAAATTTAAAAAATAAACAGCCAGCATAAATGAAAAAGAGCCAGCTTTTCTTTAAGTTTGAGCTTTAACAATAATGTGGTTTAGAAAACTGAAATAAGATACCTACAATTGCCAGGGAGGATTATCCTCCACTGTAGATGTATCTTACTTGAACTTTGCAAAATATATTTGTTCTTTATGTGGCCACTCTGAAATCAAAGAAGGGGAGTTGCTGTGTTACTGCTTCAGCATTAGCCACAGCACATTCCAGGTTTACTTAATTTTGTTACATACCTTGTCAGAAGTAAGGCTGCTGCACCGTTCAAAGCTGTCCATGCTGCCCAGACGGCCTCGCATTCTGCTAGCTCCCTGCAGGAATGAGAGTGTTCCATTTTATCCCAAGTTTTGTTCTTCATAGTAAGATTAAATAAATTGTTTAAGAGGAGACTGGAAAAAAACAGCAGTGATCCTGCAGGTAAACAGTGAGGTGCTATAAAGGGCTATATAAAAAAGTCCACATAAAGATGCATAGTACATGCAGTTATTATCTAATTCAATCTATCCTTTGATTTCAGAGCACTAAATTCACTCACTGATTTTTTTAATTAGTATGCTATGCAATGGATTTAAATATTAAATAAAATTTATTCGCAAGGAAAAAAAACATGAAATTTTATCTTAAATTTTGATGGCATTCATGGATTATAAAATAGAAGCTATAAATGTTTGTGATTTTAATACACATGCATTACATATATTTTTACATTCCAATCCAGCATGGCTGCACCCAGAGTAAGCCTCAAATGTAAAGTCTATCACATGTTTACATCTGTATAGTACAGTTCCATCATCTCAGAGTTATATAGTGAGATTTACAGTCCATCACGCCCTCTTTCCATTATGGAAAGTGATCACTGGTCTTTTTTTCCTGCGGTGAAGAATGGAAAGATTTTGAAGTGTAAAAATCTGCTGCAAGAAGAACTGCCTGCTTCCACATCAAGGTTTTTGACAAGGAAAAATAAGCTCTCTTGGCAGAGGCAAGGAAGAATTTCTGCATTGGAAATGCTATCCCCAGAAGGGAAAAATACAACAAACTTTAGGAAGAGGCCCTGATCACAGTAAGGACCAAATAGGGATATGCTCCAAATAGGGGCATACCTATGCCTCGTCTTCCTGAAGGCAGTACGTGTAGTGATTAGCAACTTAGTTTAAACATGCAAAGTCACAAAGAGTTGTTTTGAAATCTAAACACATGACCTACTGCAATCAAAAACAATTACCAGAAATGAGATACAATTTTTTTTAATTGGATTCCTGTCCATTCAAACCCACAGAATCTCTCTCCTAATCATTAAGACGTTTCTGGGACCTGTATCCTGCCCTCATGTCTTTCTGAAAGACACTTTTCCTATTTGACAAAACATTCTATATGTTCCTCAAAATTTATCAGACTTAATTTGTTCCCCACCCGCTCAGAACCTTTAACAAAGGTAGATTCTTCTCATAAAGGGCTTCCTCTTCCATTCCCAGTCCAACAACCCTCTGGAACAACCAGACTGCACCTAATTCCCTGACTCTTCAAATCCTGTTTTGAGAATGATAGATTTATTAGAGTGGATTTGGAGTCACAGACCTACAAGTTCTACTGCGGGTCTCCCACTTTTCCCTGGGGGTAAGGGATTCCATCCTACACTTGTGTAAGGTACCTTTCTTTTCTTCTACACACCATTTACAGTTGGTGTTAGCATGATCTATTGGAGAACAGAATCATAGAACTGTAGGGCTGGAAGGGACCTCAAGGGGTTATGTAGTCCATCTCCCCTCTACAGGAGGACCAAACATATCTAGATCATCCCTGACAGGTGTTTGTCTAATCTGTTCTTAAAAGCTATCAATGATGTGGATTTCACAATCTCTTTAGGTAATCCATTCCAGCACTTAAGTATCCTTACATATAGTTAAACGTTTTTCTTAATATCTAACCTCAATCTCCCTTGCTGCAAACTAAGTCAATTACTTTTTGTCCCACCTTCAGTGAACATGGGAGAACAATTGACCACTGTCCTCTTTATAACAGCACCTTCTACTTCTTTGAAAACTTATGTCCCACCTCAGCCTTCTCATCTCTAGACTAAACATGCCCAATTATTCCATACTTTCCCCTAAGACATGTTTTCTAAACCTCTTATTTTTGTTTCTCTCCTTTGGGCTCTCTCCAATTTGTCCACATCTTTCTTAAAGTGCCATGCCCAACATTGGACACAGTCCTCCAGATGAGGCCTCACCAGTGCCAAGTAGAGCAAAACAATTACCTACTATGTCTTACATGTCTGGTTTGGCCAATGTACATGGCAGAGGGGTATTGCTGGCACATGATGGCATATATCACATGACACTCCTGTTAATACACCCAGAATGACATTGGCATTTTTTGCAACAGTGTCAAACGATCGATGACCCTCTATGACCCTCACATTCTTTTCTGCAATTCTGCTATCTATCCAGCTATAACGACTGTATTTACTGAGAATAGTCCGTGAACACTGCAAGCTTTTGGGTGAAATATACTATCAGAGTACATTATGTTACATTGTTTTATTATCTGATGGAAATGGCTATCCCTCAGCTCTTGAAGCATGCTACTTTGATACTTAATCAGACACACAACATAAAACCCATTTGCTTTCTCCCATGCTGCTTTTCACACCTGAGAGAAGCACCCCACAAACACCCACAAAACTAACTCACTATCCTTCTTCAAAACATTCCTTTTTCCTGCGATGGCTACAAAACTGTAACAGTGATTAGGCTGCTGGTGTGCTGAGACCACAGTCTATCATGCTGACCAATATTGTCTCATTGTGGTTTTTTTGTACTGCCCCATCTGATCTGACTATATTTGTCTATTATCTCATCTTATATGGAGATTGTAAGATCTTTGGGACTGTCTTCTTGTTCTGACTGTATAGCACCTAGAACAATGGGTCCTGACTGGGCCCATAGGTGCTACAGTAATACAATAATAAATAAATATTTTATAGAAATTGTTGGTAGACTTAAGGCACAGTTGCTCCTCTTGCTATACTCACAGCCGTAGGTAACGTTTTACAATGTCAACAATGTTAAGAATTGCTTCAGGTTACTTTTTCCTGCCAGAGCTTTAGTCCTGAAAACCACTCTCGGTGCCATGGATGCGCACACTACCTCCTAAAGCCGGGTTACCAACAGAAAGGAATGCTGGCCCTGAAGCATCTCTCTTCAGTGGCATATCATGTAACAGATATGAATGAAAATTCTTTATTTTAATTTAGGGAAGGGTCACGTTATGCTTTTGACATTAAAAAAAAATGACTACTATAAATATTACATTTTTGAGCCAGAGAAAAACCTTTGTTTTCTTAGTCTGGTATGTGTGCTAGGACCAAAATTCAAACTGTATTTATGAGGTTTGAGGTCAAGCACAGGTTATATTTATTTTTCTGGGATACACAGCTATGAAGCCACAGCTTGTTTTCAGTTCAGCCCTGGCAACTTTCAGAACATTTCAGCAAAGTAAGCAAATGAGAAAGACACATACTTTTGAGATTTTTATTTTTAATAAAACAAATAGGCTTCTCATTTAGGGTTAGACTGTAAACCCTCTACTGACATTAGTGAGCACTTACTCACTCAAGTAGTGCCATTGATGCCAATGAGACTATCTGGGCAAGTAGCTGTTCACAATCCTGTCCTTGTGTGTTGCTTGAGTGCTTTATAAGTATATATTTCTTAATCCATTATGACGGAGACTTTATAAGTGCATCTCTTAAAAAAAAATGAAAACTTTGCATGTACAATCAGAGGACGAAGAAGGATTTTACATTCCATGGATTTCTTGGTCTTTCTTCTTTCATGATCTACTAATCAAATATGTGAACAGATTTGAGACTACGAACATAGCAACTTTCTGAATAGAAACTTTGAATTTGTTTTTGTGACAACTGCACCAATGTCCTGTATTATCCTGGACAAATCTTACTGAATTAGGTTTAATATTTTTGGAGGTCATTGCATTAAAAATGAAAAATGTTTATGTATTGCTGTGGGATTGTATGGAATTTCTTTAGCAGGAAGACAGGATGAATGCAACCTTGGGAGACATGAGGAACTTCAAAGGATTTTTAGTGACAACCTTTGTAAACTGGATATCCTAGGAAATACCTGGGGGGTGAATCCATCCTTTTGAAGCTATGCCCTGGGGAGAAAGCTCAATTCTTTGCTAATTACCTTCTCCTGGAAACTCCAGATCAAAGACCCCTGAACTGTACAAAGGGTGGACTTAACATGTCATAAAGCTGCTTGTTCTGAGCTGAAGCTGTGATGAATGTGAAACCACAAGGCAACTCCTTGGGTGGGGGTTTTGAAAGATTGCTCTTGCCGGAGCCCATATTAGGGTTGTGTTGATCTCATGCAAGCTTATTAGCATGCATGTAGGTTCTGTTACTGTTTTTAATGTGTTTTCTCTGTAGCGCCTTTACCTTAAGAATAAAATAGGCTTGCATAGGAAGTGCTGTGTGGTAACTTATTAACTGTTGGCAATCATTCTGTTATTAGTGAACAGAAGGCAAGAGAAGATTGCTTAAGGCAGGAAACTGTTCAGCCTGGAGATACTCCAGTCAGAAGGGACAGACAGACAGACAGACAGACCCCTCCACCCAAGAGAGCTGATAGCTTGGGAGCGGGAAGCCTGAGAGTAGGTGTTCTTGCTGTACCATGGGGGGGGGGGGGGGGGGAGGTGCAGTTGATCGGAACTATGACAGTTTTCTTTCCTGGTTATAAAACTACATAAATCTTTATTTTAAAGTTTTAGTAATCAAAAGAGGACAAGTGATGTCATCCGTTTTTACATCATGGTACAATTAAATGACTTGGACTTAATAGGGCCACATTGTGTAAGACACTGTAGAAAAACCACAGAGAGAGATATGTTTCCTGCCCCAGAGAGCTTACAATCCTTTTAAAAGGTAGATGGCAAAAAAGACAAAGATAAGTTACAATTTATTATTTTTTATAATTTTTATTACAGTAGTGCCTAAAGGCCCAACCCTGGATCAGGGCCCTGTTGTGCCAGGCACTGTACATACACAACAACAAGTCCCTGTCCCAAATCCAATTAGATGCAATGTCCTTATCAATCTTGTAAGATATTACTTTTCCAATTCTTGCATTAATGAAGCCATTACTGGAAGTGCAAGGAAAGGATTCCCTGTGGACCCATTTCTAGTTTTTTTTGCAAGATGCTCTGTGACATACTGATAGTTTTTAATCTATTGTAGTTACATACATGATACATTTTTGGCACCTAAAATTTGCAGTTTTATTTGGTCTTGTAATATACTCATCATATCAGAGGATAAATGGACAAGACTGGACATGTGTAGGTCCAAACTACCATATGGATTACTTTATGCAACCCACAGACTCCAGAAAATTCATTCTGCTATATACTATGCAAGGCACTGCTTTATGTCACAATGACCATGATCAGAAGAGAGACATACTATATTCTAAATGGTGAAATAAGCCATCATGGAGAAAAATGATCTTACTTACAGAGCAATTCTCACCAGTGGTTTCTGTATCTTTAATAGACCAATTAGAAAACAGCCTACTCACTCCTTGTACCAGTGTAGTGGAAACAATTTCTCATATTGTGAGCTACAAAATGTTAATGTGCCCACATACCTGACTGAATTATGAAGTAAAGCAGGGTTTCTCAAACTGGGGTCTCCGCTTGTGTAGGGACTTTCCCTACACAAGCGGCGACCCCAGTTTGAGAAACCCTGCAGTAAAGACTACGTTTCATAATATTTATTGGGTCATTCCTAGGTTCACATTCCATCTCCAGGACATGTGTCTGTTCAATAGCAGCATCCCCTAGTGAAGCACTAAACTATCAGAGCCCAGAGTATTTCCCCTCCCCGCCCACCCTAGTCATATACTCTATGGACATTAAACATAAAAATAAAAGATTCAAAGCACAAGGCATTGCTGTCGCTGTCACTATCTGATGATATTCCTAACTGCTGAAGTTACTCAGTTCTTTCAAGGGTCATTCCCCCATACACAGGTCATGGCTTCTAGGGTGTCACAATTGCTACTTAACTTTCCAAATGTTGTCAGATTAATCTGATCCAAGAATTAATAATAGGTATGGCCCCAATTCAGCAAGGTTCTTAAACCCATGACTGACTTTAAACACAAGGACTACAATGGGCTGACTCATATGCTTGCAGTTAAGGGCTGAAGTACCTTGCTGAATTGATACCTAAGTGTCTCCCATTTGTAGTCCAACTACTTCTGATGGCCCAGGTAATACATTTAGGCATATCATCATCAGCACAATAGTTACACCTCACTAACACAGTCCATCAGGATTTACAGCCCTCAGTCCAATAACTCCTAGACCTTCCTTCCTTGTTCCTCTTTACACCTTTTCTCTCTGCTCCTAGCCTGCCTGCCATCATTCAGTTACAGCGCTTTTACCAGTCTGAGCTTAAATAGGATTTTAGAACACCACACTGTGGGGGGGAAGGGGGCTGAGGGGAGAGGAGAGAAAATACTACCATGCTATACCTTTTAGAATTATTCAACTTTTCCAATTGTTACTTTATTTTAATTGCACATTGCACCTTGGCTAACATTAATGATGAAATGAGATGCCATTCATCATTATCTGGGTACCTCTTATTGTACATAATATAGCCATAACCTTAATATTTCACAATTTTTTCAACTGATCGTGACAGAGTGCGAGCTGTAGCACCCAGGTCGCTTAGGTAATTGTGTGACAGGGAAGATTACAGGCTTAATTGGAGGCCATTAACCTGTCATGGTGAGATTGTTGACATATGGGGGCAATGATTGGGCTAATGAGGTAATTAGCTCAATAAGGGACGATATATATTTGGCAGGAAAAGACAGTTACCTTTTCCGTAACTGGTCTTCGAGGGTTAATGAATGTTGTCACAGTTCAGGGCAACTGCACCTGTATTTCCCCCAATGGTCCAGCAAGGGCAAACACTCCCAGACTTCCTGCTCCCCAGCTGTTGCCTTTCTTGGGTGGAGATCTGCATCTCACTCCTTTCTGACTGGAGTGTTTCCAAGCTGCACAGTTCCCTGCCTTCATTGTGTTATTCCCAGCACAGACCTGCTGCCCAAGCACAGTTGCTTGCTTTCTCTTCAGAGACAGTTAACAGTGTGACTGCCCACCACTGTAAGTTACCATGCCTGGTTCTTTCTTAAGGTAAAAAGTACTACCACAGAAAACATATTTAAAAACAGTAAAAGAACCTGCAATAATAAGAGCATCCCAATCGATCCTGGGCTCTGGCAGGAGCAGTCCTTCCAAATCCCATCCAAGGAATTTCCTTGTGGCTTCCAGTCCATTACAGCTTCAACTCAGAACAAGCCCCCAGCTTATGGCATCTCAGCAAGCCCAGACCTTCCAACCCTTCCTTAAGGATTGGGGCCCTCAGTGAACTAGGGATCCTGTCCGTCTGCTGGACCACAAGACGATTCCGAGCCTGTTTAAAACCAGGCTATTTATCCAAAAATCCTTTCTTTGTCAGCTGGTCCTTGGAGAATCCCATTTGAACTAATATATGCGCCAACCTCTTCAGCAGATGACTTCAAAAGGCCGATAACCAGAAGAACTATATTAGCATCCCCTTCCTCCTAGAGGAGTTGCATACAATTCCACAACAACAATGGCGTTTTTAACGTAATGGACCCCAAAAGGTATTAACCCTAAATCACTAAGTTTTAACTTAATTTAGTAAAGTTTATTCCATAAGGTTTGCCTAGGATACGCCAGGATATTGGTCAGCCTGTCACAAACGTAATGCAAAGTTACAATTAAACTACATTTTATTGTGTCTCAAAATATCTGTAAACCTTGCAAGCTTAACTTTGTGCACTACTTGCTGTTGATGGGAACTCAACCCATTTTCAGAAATATTTGCTAAAAGAGACTGTCTTTCTGCTTCTGTGCATGTGTGCTCTTCCTGCATTTAACATCAACATAATCTAGCCAAATTAAACCCATAGGAAGCAATTAAGTTTCATGCATATGATTTTAGCTTGTCTAGTTTTTAGTATAAATCTGAACTGTTGTTAAATATGAAAACAAACAAACACTGTATAATCTTATTAATGATATCTGCAAAAACTGTTGACAATGAGCTGTTAATCTTACCCTTGAGAAGATATTTTCCAGAGAACTAGTCAAGGATTTCTTGGCCTTGTTTTTCAGAATGTCGAGTTTAAACCGGCCACCACTGGCAGTGTTTTCTGGGATTGCACTGTTTGAAATGTTCTGTTGAAGTAAGCAAGAACACTTTTTAGCTTTGGTAGTACTCTGGGCAATTGAAGGCCTCTGAAAACTAAAGCTAAATCTGATCACAGAACAAGCAATGTGCCCTTTACTTAACAAATCTAGCCTATAGGACAGGGGTGGGCAAACTTTTTGGCCCAAGGGTCACATCTGGGAATAGAAATTGTATGGCAGGCCATGAATGCTCACAAAATTGCGGTTGGGGTGCGAGAGGGGGTGAGAGCTCTGGTTGGGGATGCGGCCTCCAGGGTGGGGCCAAAAATGAGGAGTTCAGAGTGCGGGAGGAGGCTCTGGGCTGGGGGGGGGGGCTCCAACTGGGGGTACGGGCTCTGGGGTGGGGCTGGAGATGAGGGGTTTGGGGTGCAGGAGGGTGCTCCGGGCTGGGATCAAGGGGTTCGGAGGGCAGGAGGGGGATCAGAGCTGGGGCAGGGGTTTGGGGTACGGAGAGAGGCTCAGGGGTGCATGCTCTGGGCGGCGCTTACGTCAAGTGGCTCCCGGAAGCAGCGGCATGTCCCTTCTCTGGCTCCTACACAGAGGTATGGCCAGGCGGCTCTGCACACTGTCCCGTCTGCAGACCCACCGCCCCTGCAGCTCCCATTGGCTGCAGTTCCCGGCCAATGGTAACTGTGGGGGCAGCGCTTGGGATGGGGGCAGCGTGCAGAGCGGAGCCCCTGGCTGCCCCTACAAGTAGGAGCCAGAGGGGGGCCATGCCACTGCTTCTGGGTCCCCCGACCCTACTTCCCAGCTGGAGTGCCAGAGGGGGGCCATGCCGCTGCTTCTGGGAGTTGCGTAGAGAGGACTCCAACCCTGCTCTCTGGCTGGAACGCCAGAGCGGGGCAAGCCCCAGACCCCACTCCCCAGCAGGAGCTCGAGGGCCGGATTAAAACGGGCTTCTAAGATCCGCCCACCCCTGGCTAACTTTGTTGTTTTGTTATTTATTTAAAAGAAAGGAAGCATATGGCCTAAAAAAGTAACGTTCTGTATATTCACCCCTGCACCACAATTATTTCTTACTGTGTTTAGGCTGGCTAAGGTTTTTCTGGTATTGCTTATATTGTACTAAAATCTGCAACAAAAATTACCTGTCTGCTTTTTCCAAGTGAACAGAAAAACAGAAAAGCAACCCCAAACATAAACTTTAATCAGACATGCCAAAGTGAATCAAAAACAGTATAGTTATGGAAAACAGATGAGTCCTCACTCATTCACAATATAAAAGGCTCAGTTTTCACTGCTGTACTGTAGCCTAGTGTTATCTAAGGTTGTATTTGAATAAAGAAAGAAAATAAAGTATAGACTGTACCAATGGTGCCTCGCCAATATGGACATGCGTCTTTTGTTTCGTTTCACACAACTGTCGCAGATGTAAGATCACAAGCTCATTTTCTTCCTGGTCACTGACAGGCTTCATTTTCTGTCAAGAATAGACAAATAAATAAAGCATCTCTTTCAATACATCATTTTTGCTTTGATTTCTGATCAGAAATACTATGGATGTTCTAAAGTTAAGCTATTCCTGATGCTCCAGATGCCAGCAATTTAGAATATGCATTGCATATACACTATCAATATCATTCAACTACTTCTAATAACAACTTGTACAAAAGTTTATGTAGCACCATACAAGCATAAAAGAAGTTTACAAGCACAATTTTCAAAAGCACCTAAGTGGCTTAGGACATGGCTTAGGCTTTGGTCCTGCCATGAGGGCAGGGGACTGGACTCTATGACCTCTCGAGGTCCCTTCCAGTACTAGAGTCTATGAATAAGTCCCATTTTCAAAAGTTGCCAGGTACTTTTGAAGAAACCATGGAGGTGCCTATCTGCACCCTTACCTCAGACTTTTAGAGGTATTTAGGCATTGCTCCAATCAGGATAACAGTGCTTAACTGACTTAGGAGCCTTTGTCTCATATAAAGTCAATGGGACATGGCTTAAGTACCCGCGTTACTTTTGAGAAAGAATTAGGCATTGCAGAGTCTCATTCTCAAAAGTGACGCAGGTACTTAGGAGCCCATGTCCCATTGACTTTAAATGAGACTTAGAATTAGGCATTGCAGAGTCTCAAAGTCTCATTTTCAAAATGAGCTCTACGTTCGTTTTGAAAACGAGACAGGCTCCTAAGTCAGTTAGACACTGCAGCATGGAGTAAAGCAATGACTAAATATCTCTAAAACGAAAATGGGACTTGGGGTAAGATTTTCATAAGTGCCAAAATGCTCTTACTCATTGCACCAATTCTTCATCTGCACATTAAATATACTTGCTTATAGAGTCCTGAAGCAGGACTGGGATCCCAGGGGTTCTGCAGGACCTACTGCCATAATAGCGGGCAGGGCCGGCTCTAGGTTTTTTGCCGCACCAAGCAAAAAAAATTTGGCTGCCCCCCGTCCCAGCCCTGGGCTCCTCGCCGCACCCCCCTTCTGCCCCAACCCTGGGCTCTCCCCCACCACCCACATCCCCTGCCCTGGGCTCTCCCCCCCCGACCCGCACCCCCCTGCCACCCCAGCCCTGGGCTCTCCCCCACACACACACCCTGCCGCCCCAGCTCTGAGCTCCCCCATACCTCCCCACCATTGCCCCCCCCCCACCCCTCCTGCCGCCCCAGCCCTGGGCTCTCCCCCCCGCCCTGCACCCTCCTTCTGCCACAGCCCTGGGTCACTGGTAACTAGCTCCCAGGGCCGGTCATTCAGCAGGAATTTTGGATGTGCACAGAACACCGACAGGATTGGTTCCCATATGGTTACAGAACTGCAGTAAAGTGGAACAATTTTCAGCTTGTGTGATTGGAGGATATCTGGATGCATATTATAAGACTGTCCTACATAAATGAGGAAAAGTTGAGGTGCCTTTATTATTCTTTTGTTCCACTCTTTCTTTCTATGGGGAATTTGCCAATGCAATATCACTGTCTTCCTTTTAAACAAACAAACAAACAAACAAAAGGCAATGGCTGTTGAAAATAGCAATTCCAGTCCTAATAACCACTGGGAAGCATTTCTTGCTCAATTTTATCCTATTTTTTCTACAGCAAGTTACAGTGGATCAGTATATTTGATTTGGGAGAAATGAAGTAACAGCTGAACAAACTGAGCTTGAGCACTCCTGAATTTTGAGGTGTTCAAATCTGGAAGGCAGGTGCTGGGGGGGGCTGTGGCTCCGCAGGGGAGCACGGCAGCATGTATGCAGCAGCGTGTCTGGCGCTGTGCGAAGCCAGACACGCTGGTATGAGTGGCACGGTAAGGGGGCTGGGGGGTTGGAGAAGGGGTAGGGAGTTCCAGGGGGGCTGTCAAGGGACAAGGATAGAGTGACCAGACAGCAAGTGTGAAAAATCGGGACGGGGATGGGGGGTAATAGAAGCCTATATAAGAAAAAGACCCCAAAACCGGGACTGTCCCTATAAAATCGGGACATCTGGTCACCCTAGACAAGGAGAAAGGGGGGTTAGATGGGTCAGGGGTTTGGGGGGGGGGGCAGTCAGGGGACAGGCAGCAGTTGGATAGGCATGGGAGTCCCAGGGGTTTGGGGTGGGGTCCTAGGGGGGAAGTTGGGGGGGTCTCAGGAGGGGGCAGTTGGGGACAAGGAGAAGGGAGGCTTAGATGGGGGTGGGGTCCCGGGAGGGGGCAATCAGGGGACAAGGACCAGTGGGGCTTAGATAGGGGGTGGAGTCCTGGGGGGGCAGTTGGGGTGGGGTCCCGGGAAGGGGCGATCAGGGAGCAGGGGGGTTGGATGGGTTGGGGTTTCTGTGGGGGGTAGTCAGAGGGGGTGGATGGTGGCAGGGTGGGGCTACCCTCCCTCCCCATGGAGTGTCCTATTTTTTGAATGGTAAAATATGGTATCCCTACTCACAGTGCAGCTCTCCATTCACAGCAGGCTGCAGCGAGAGGTCTCAGCTTCCTCACTCCCTCCCCCTCTTTCCTGTTGGTCGTGGCCAAGGGAATGCTGGGAAATGTAGTTCTTTCCCTGCTCCAGGGCTGGCTCTATAGGCAGGGAGCTAACCAAGGAACTACAGCTCCCAGAGTCCCCTGTTGGTTCTCAGCTCCCATGCTGGATCCCTGCCGCCCCTGCAAATGGGCTGCCCCAAGCACGTGCTTGCTTTGCTGGTGCCTAGAGCCGCCCCTGATAGCGGGAGTAAAATGTACTTTGCTGCAGGTGAGATTGGGTGGGCAAAAAGCCCCAGACTGCGGGACAGGAACACGATTAAAAAAAAAAAAGTAGCCTCGCTTATACGATGAGCCTCCAGAGTCAATACTCATGCGTAAATACTTCTAAGAGGAATTTTGGAACCATGTATTATTTTATCTTATACTAGAATCACTTTATCTCTAGCCTTTTTTTATTGCCCCCATCACTTCATTATTTGAACGTCTCATATACCTCACAGAACTCCGCCCCACATCACCCCACAAGATAGGGAAGTATTGTTTTCCCTATTTTACACATGAGGAACGGAAGCACAGACTGATTAAATAACTTTGCCTATGGTCACATGAGCAGTTTGTAGCAGAGTTGGGAACAGAACTGTTCCCATACCAGCACTTTCTCAAATCACTTTATTGTACTACAATAGTATACTCCAGTCTAGTTTTGAGAAATGAATTAATGTAGAGTATTAAGTCCATGCAGATGACTATAAGAAAGAAAGCCAAATACAGCTGAAAGGAAGAATGTGGGTACTTCCCAATTTAAAAATATAGTCCACTGACCACAGAAAAAGTCAGCAACCTGAGCACAAAACTTTGCACACACGCGCACATATGCTAAAAAGATGTCCAGAATATGAAAGAAGTCAAAACCTACATAGATATGTGAGGGACGCAAGAACTGCGTTGACTTTATTACCTGAACACGTTCAAAAATGTAGGCTTGCTCATTATCAGTAAGTGATGACAAGTGTCTCTGAATTACAAGTTTGGCTCTTGGTGGGTAAAGACCTTCAGGAAAAAATATATATATTAAACAGAGCCTTTGAGAACTACTAAAACTAATTTCATTCACCAGAGTACCCTATGATTCCTATCTATGCTGCTATAAAAACTACATAAATAGAATACACTTTTAAAATAAATGACAGATGAGATATTTTAGAATGCTTTCAGTTAAAAAGCTATTAACATATTTACAAAAGTACTTTTCAAATTCTATTAAAGTACAAACCTCTTACTTTGTCTACTCTTACTAGATCATACCAAGGTAAGAATTCAGTGCCTTATGGATAGGGAATCCCATCTGGGAGGGATTTGAATAGAACACAACAATGATAAGCTCTAGGACCCTGTATTGAGATGCAAAGCTGTCCCCCTTCCTCCCCAACTTGCCCCTGTCCCCATCTACTCTTCTACATTCAAGTCAGACTGCTTCCTTCTTCCCCTCAATGCTTTCTGAGTTCCAGAAGGGGGATCACTCAGGAGAAACAGTACAGGAGAAACAGTCTATCCACTCTCAGTTCCTGGACCACAGCAACTTCAGCAGCTGGGAGTAACAACTTTAGCAAAAGGTCCAGGGCACACTATGCGCTGTGAAAGCAGCAATTTTCAGAGGTTTATAACCCAACCAAAATTGGGTGGATTTTCACTTGGGAGAAGGCCCAAGACAACCTCCATGCCCCTGCTCCAAAGAATAAAAGCACTAGAGCTTCTTAACTTAAAAGGTAAGAATTTTTAACCTTGGCCAAACACCACATTTCCCCCCCAACTTCATTCTCAAGCCGCTGAACCATTTTATTTGAAATTAAAAAAAAAAAATGTTTGGACTGGTGTAGATACCCAGCATGGAGGATTTCAATCTGAATAGTTCAAGTTTGGCAGAGTTATAAGCAACTGAACATTGGGTCTTAGAAAAATTGTTAGGCCTCCCCTATAATAAATCCTTTGGTAATATGATACCCCTTGATTCTGTCTGAAGCCAACCAGCCTCAAATATATATATATATATATATATATATAACAACGCTATCCTCGGGAGCCAAAAAATCTTACCGTGTTATAGGTGAAACTGCGTTATATCGAACTTGCTTTGATCCACCAGAGTGCGCAGCCCCGCCTCCCTGGAGCGCTGCTTTACTGCGTTATATCTGAATTCGTGTTATACCTCTACCCCGATAGAACGTGACCCGATATATTAGGAGGCCCTGATTTTCAGATGGTCTATGTTCTGTACTTTTTAAAAATATTGGGCTCTCAATGTGTTTCAAGTTGGGGTATCCAAAAAGCTGAGGCATCCAAACTCATAAGTCACTTTTGAAAATCTTGGTGTTGGCTCCTTTTCACAGTCCTTCCATGCATATCAGTGGGACAAAACAGCAGCTTATGCATTTGTAGCTTTTCATTGAGAAACGGAGAATTTCCAACCAAGGTTTGCCACTTCTGAACACTCTAGTGCTTAACGCAGACATTAACTATAAAATTGTATTTCCTTGTCAAAACTTCTCATGCTTTTCACCCACCAAAGGGAACTAATAATTCTAAGTGATGATCATTTTTATTTAACAAATACAAATTGTGGCGTTTATTACAAATACCTCATACAAAAACAGACATGTTTGTGTGTGAACACACCACTACTTTTTAGTGAATAGAGCATATCATACTTGAGTATGTATGTTGGTTTCATCTGCCAGCTTATGTCATTTTTAATAACCATCCTGTCAAATATTAAAAAGCCATACTGTGGCATACTTAACTGTCGTTGAAGTCAGAGCTATGTGTGCAGATCTGAAGTCAGACACTAGCCCTAAATTCTTTATTATCCTTGTTCAATTTGATATTAACCTCATATTTTATTAACATATTTCATGTAATAGAACAAGGTAATGAAGTACATAAAGCAATCAGCCCCATGAGAAAAATCATCAACAAGATTACAAAATAAGAAAAAGAACAAACAAAAAGAAAGGCTAAAACATCAGTTCTAGCATTACTGTCCCTTCATTTACTACCATCTTTAAAACCTTCTTTACAAAAGTGTGGGTTCCAAATGTGTTCAGAGCACTATGTTGAGAATTTCTATACATGCTAAAATAATAGAGCATAAGGAAAGACAAAAATAAATATTTGAGGAAAAAGTAATATTTCTAGCAAGAGCTTTAAGGGGCTAGTTGGAAAATAATTATTGCGATAGCTACCACTTTACTCAATTTATTGGCCATTTATCATGGTCATGAGAATTTTTTTCTTCTTTAACTAAACTGAGATTCAAGCAATTAGATAGGTTTTAATTAAACCAGGGGTCGGCAACCTACGGCACGCGAGCCGATTTTGAGTGGCATGCTGCCTGCCCGGTGAGAGGAGGAGGAGGAGG